CTGAGGCAGGAGACTCGCTTAAGCCCAGGAGTTGGAGGTTGTTGTGAGCTGTGATGCCACGGCACTCTACCCAGGGGGATAGCTTGAGGCTCTGTCTCAAAAAATAAAAAAATAAAAAATGAAGTTTGACTTAGTTGCCAACATTGGTAAATCAAAAGGTTTTACACCATGTGAAATAATGGAACTTCTGAAAAATTTGGAAGATCTAGCAATCCAATCTGCATCCCCCCCAGAGCTAACACTGAGCTCAAGTATCAGTTGCCATATTTTGCCTTGCTGATGTTTTCACCCTTGAACCATTTATTTACATTTCCACTCATCTCCTGGTCATGTTTGTGTTTGTGAATGACTCCTAAAGCTACAAAGAGCTGTGGGTTGTTTGCTACAGTATGGAATACGGAACAGGGAGGGCCTGCTCAGGTATCTATCTGGATATGAGGCCACTGTTGGCTTGGTCAGCAAAGGCAGTGATGATGAAAAGGTGTGTTCAGATTCCACACATATTTAACTGACTTAAATGAGGGAAATTGATAGGGATTAAATACATGGATGGGGAAAGGCTTAAGGAACTGCCCATGTATCTAGTTTGGGTAGTGGTGCCGATGGCACCTGGACGTTTTTGGGGGGAAAACAGAATGAGCTCTGTTCACAGAGTTGTCCCTGGGTTATCTCACGGGGATTACTGGGTGAACAGAAAGGTATGCAAATCAGGGACACTCCTTCCTCTACAAGCACACAAATCACAGGAGTCCTTGTGTTTTGCTAAACTTCCTGACCGCCCCCGCCCCCCAAATGAACCACATAACATCTCCAAATAGCTGAAGCCTCTTCACCCCATTCTAATGCTGAGGAAACAGGTTTGGAGAGAGGTATCATGCAATTTGCTGCTGGTGCCAAGACCATAATGTGACCCTTCCCCCACCTCACCCCCAGACACCAGAATTACAAGACTGACATAGAGAAACCTTCAGAAGGTCCTTTAATAGGAACAGAACTGGAGGTTTTTCACCTCTAGCTCCCAATCCCTGCTGTCACCCTTGACCAGCCCACTGTGGCACCAATCAGCTATCCTTGCTTTGGGATTGCCTGGGACTAGGCAGTAAGTTGTTTGCTTCAAGTTGAGAGTGGAGGAAATTAGAGAAACCCAAGGCTTCTTTGTAGATGTGGAGCAAGAGGGCACAGGCTTTAAGCCTACAGCTTGGGGGTGGGGAGGGGCATTAGGTAGTTGTTTGTCTCCAAGGAAGTCTGAATTGGTTATGGAGGGACCATCATGGGGGTGGGGGCAGCTGCTCTTGGAATCAAGATCCTATCATCAGGCTTACATCCTTGAGGATCAAGTGCTCTCAGCTGTGACTTGGGGCCCCTCTGGCTTTGAGGTGATGGGATCCCACAGTCTTTAAGACTACCTGGTGGGTGTCTTCTGCCTGAGGGTGGGCAGGCACTCCAGGTCCAGTGCAATCCAATGAGGTAGGCAAAAGATTCCATCCTAGTCCATTCTAGGCACCCCCAACCCCGCCCCCCCACCCCCAAATTCAGGACTAGACCAGGACTACTATGGTGGTACCAGATTCTCAAATTTCCACTCAACCCTGGCTCCCCGTTTGCAGTGCCCAGGCTCAGTTGTGACAGGCTGTGTCCTGCACAAAGATAACCCAATGACAAGGCACATGGGGCAGAGAAATGCAGCCCATGCTCCTTGCATTTACTGGGAACCCACAAGGCAACATCTGTCCCTTCCTCTGAGAGCAGATGTCCTATATGAGCTTGTGGGAGTGTGGAACCTGACTCTTGCCCTCTGTTGGCCAATGGTAGCTGCTCATGGCTCTCCCCATTAGCTATCGTTCCTCCCCCAATCTCCCATCTTCTGTACCTCGTGTTCTTTTCCCCATCCCTACCCCCTTGCAGTCTACCTTCTACTGTGGTGTGGACTCGCCTGCATTAGCTCTCCCAGCCTACTGGTTAACTTCCGTCTTCACTTTCGCTGTCTCTCCACGCCCCTCTTCCAGAGTGTCCCTTCCCCCACACCTGCTCCTGGACCCCTCAGCTGTTGATGACCCCAACTGGCCTCCAGAGTCTCCCAGCCCAGGCCCTGGCCCATGGAAGTGGGTACGCTGGTGCTTTCGGAAGTTGGAAGAATTGTTGAAAGTGCGGTCACAGAGGCTGCAGCGGAAGGGGCGCTCGCCTGTGTGGATGCGGGCGTGGCCGCTCAGCACTGAGGACTGGGTGAAGCCCTTGCCACAGATGCTGCAGTGGTATGGTCGCTCGCCTGTGTGCACGCGCTCGTGGTCTCGCATATCTGAGGAGCGGCGGAAGGGCTTGGCGCAGAACCTGCAGGCAAAAGGCTTCCCCACCGCGGCGCCCGCAGCTGCCGCTGCCATCACCACCTCCGACCTTTCCTGGGGCACTCCGGGCCTCTGTTCTCCAACTGGTGTCGCTTCTGGAGGCCTCCGAGAGCTCCCTGGCTCCACTCCGTGTCGGTGCTGGTGCCGAAGCAGAGGTGCCAAGGCCTTGAAAGCGCGGGGGCAGCGTGGGCAGCGGTAGGGCCGCTCTCCTGTATGCAAGCTGTAGTGGGCACGGAGGCTGGCAGGACCCGGGCAGCTGTGGCCGCACACATGACACCGGCTTGTGTCTCCACGCTGCCCTCCTCCTTCAGCCCCTGCTAGGTGGCCATGTTCATGGAACAGCAGATCAGAAACCAGCCGGAAGGCAGCTGGGCACAAGGCACAGTGAAAAGAACCTGGTTCTGGGGGTTCAGGCACCAGCGTGGTGTCAGTCACCTTCACCACCTGGATCTCGATGAGGTCACTGGGGGGTGTGATGGGGCGGCCATCATCAGGCGCCAGGACCTGGGCAGGGGAAGAAGAGGAGCCTATGTACCCTGCCTCAAAACCTCCCCAAATGCCCCTATTTATTAAAAGGTCTCTCTTCTTTGCAGCCTCCTGGGCCCCTCACTTTCTAGATCATGTTCTCCATCCTCCAAGATTCTGCTACGTCCCCATCAATATTTCTCCTTCAGTCCAAAATATATCATGAATGCAGCCTTTTCTCTCCTCCACCCTAAATCCCCATCTTTTTTTGCCTCCACACTGAAAGAAGCTTTGCCTTTGTTCTTGTTCCTGCCCCCTTATAATCCGCCTCCTTAGAGTAGCTATCTATCTGAAAATGTAAATCAAAGGCCAGGCAAGGTGGTTCACGCTTGTAATCCTAGTACTTTGAGAGATCAAGGTGGGTGAAATGCCCAAGCTCACAGGTTTGAGACCATCCTGAGCCAGAGCAAAGACCCAGTGTCTAAAAATAGCCAGGCCTTGTGTTGGGGCCTGTAGTCCCAGCTACTCGGGAGGCTGCGACAAGAGAATCGCTTAAGCCCAGGAGTTTGAGATTGCTATGAGCTATGATGCCACAGCACTCTACTGAGAGCGACAAAATAAGACTATGTCTCAAAAAAAAAAAATGAAAATGTAAATCAGATCAAGATACTGTTCCCATTTAGGCCCCTCCAATGGCTCCAGTTGCACTTGAAACCCAAAATCATCACTATGACTTCCACCATGATCTCGCTCCTGCTTCTCTCTGACCCAAGA